ATTGAACTCAGACGAGGGAAAGGAAGGGATTTATCCCGATTCCATTGAAAATGCTTTTGTTATAGCACTGAAAAACTTCAGAAGTTTGCCTGTATGAATAACATCTGTTGACCAGTTCTTCAAAAAAAAAAAAAAATCTCTGTGGTTTGTACTAAAGCACATGTCAAAAACCAAATTAACCCTATGAAATACCCATATAATTCTAAGTAGATGTCCATATAACTTCACCATGTATTCTAGGCATGCTGGAACCAGAATATTTTGCACTGCTTGTAAAAAAAAGCTGGTAAATATTAATAATAAACACTGAAATTGTTATTTGCAAAACATTTGTTTCACAAGGATAGAGGCTTCGTTTTCTGGGAGCTCATCAATTTTTTTTTTACTGTACTCTCCCTGTTCTCTTTTTTAATGATTAAGAAACACCTTTTAATGTCATATATAAGCATACCAAGCATTTAGAGTCCCACATGTTTTTTACTTTTGATTGCTAAATCTAACATTTGTGTTCCATTGGCAAATAAGCCTCAGAAACTTGATGCTTTATAAAGAAGCTTTCACTTTCCTGTTCCTTACTCAGAGGGTGTCTTAGCTTAATTTTTAATGGAAAAAAAAGATTCAATAAGACATCAATTGGCAGTCTCAAAGGATAAGAATAAAATCATTTACCAAGCTCAAGGCTGAAAAATAGGATACTTTAAAGGAACTCTTAATTTTGTTCCAGTGCAGGTACTGTATAGATTTAGATGTACAATGTATACAAGGACTTTCTCAGTCAAAATAATTAATGAATTGTAAAGTTGCTATTAAATTTGAATTCCATAATAACTAACATAAACTGTTAACTAACATAGACTAACATAACTAACATTAACTGTTTCAACTCCTACCCTCAAAACATTGTAGAGCACTGCACACCAGAACAACCAAACACAAGGGCAGTTTTTTCCCCAAACACCATCATTCTGCTAAACAAATAATTCCCTCAACACTCTCCAACTATTTACAGTCTGTACTGTTAATAATCTCCTCATCATTCCTTCTCATCACTCCTTATCATCCATCCCCTCCCACTTGTGACTGTATGACTGTAACTTTGTTGCTTGTATCAGGTTTATATTGACTGTTTCCTAGTATGATTTGATTGCTTATTGTACCCTGACTATTATTAAATGCTGTACCTTACGATTCTTGACTCTTGATGAATGTATCTTTTCTTTTATGTACACCGAGAACATTCGCACCAAGACAAATTTCTTGTATGTCCTATCACACTTGGCCAATAAAGAATTCTATTCTATTCTATTCTATTCTATTCTATTCTATTCTATTCTATTCTAATTTTCTATTCTATTCTATTTTATTCTAACTTTACAGGCCTGCACAAATCATACTCTGCCCACTTCTATGACTGTTGCAGTTCTGTATCCAGTTCCTGATCTCAACAAACTAAGTTCATCTGATTTTCCACTGCATAATTTCAACATGAATTTGAATATTACAATTCTCATTTCTATTTCATTTAATCCATTACTTCCTTGCTTCTAATGAATTAATTTGCCATTGCATTCCAATAATATAGGTAGTCATAGACTTACAACAGTTCATTTAGTGACCAAAGTTACGGCACTGAAAAAACTGACTTATGATCACTTTTCAGTTATAACTTTGTAGCATCCCCATGATCATGTGATCAATTTAGATGCTTGGCAACTGGTTCATACTTATGACCATTTTTCTGTCCCAGTCATGTGATCACCTTTTTCTGTCCCAGTCAATGGGGAAGCCAAATTCACTTAATAACCGAGTTACTAACTTATCAACTTGTGATTCACTTAAGAACTGTGGCGAGGAAGGTCGTAAAGTGGTGCAAAACTCTCTTAACATGTCTCACTTAACAAAAAATTGGGCTCTATAAGTTGAGGACTATCTGTAGAATGTTTTTTCTGTGCAAACCATATTGAAAGCTAGTTTGATTCTAGTTTTTCATTCTGGCTTGAAGAATACATGTAAGTCACATACCAGACCAATAGTAGAGGCAAATTCTGATAGCCACAAATGGAAAAAAAGAGACTTACTACATCGTTTTGCATAAATATAATTTAGACATTTTAATTTTTCCCAGATGAATAATCTTGTCACTGACCACAGTATGCAATCCAATGGGTTTAACGTTTACCTGGTAGGTATGATAGAAGAAACTAGCCCAAGAGACACTATTTTTGTACCAGCTAAACTAGAAAATCAGAATAATTTTACAATAGAAAAGTGCATTGTAAATGATTTGATAGTTCTGATTTTCTGTCCTGGAAAAAAAAAGTATTGTTTGATGTTGTGTTGTCCAGCAATAGCAGAGAAATCTGCCAGAGAACAAAAGGGAATATTTTTAATCATCAACATCAGCATTGTCTTCTACTTTAAGAGATGCTCAACATGTCCATGAAATTTATTTCAAAATATTATGGTAGTGATCTGCCTTTGCCTTCTTCCAGTTTTTAATTCCTAGTACAGCCAATATATAAAAGGCAATAGGTGAATCAGTGTATACATGTGGTAAAATGAAGGATGGTTTGCAAGGATAGAGATATGGAGATACTGTAATGAATAATGTTGAGGTGTATGCAAGGCAAAGTTCGATATCCTTTATCTTTCTTTTGCTCAATTCACTTTTCTCTCTTTTTCATGTTGCTTTGAAAGGGAAGAACAGATTAAATATATGTGCAATCTTGCCTACTTCCCATGAGGTTTCAACCTGTCTTATATTTGGATGTGTACTAGGGTGCTGCCACCTTACCAGAAAAATATTCTAGGAACTGCCTGTTTGTTTTTCCCTTACAAATTCCAATTTTATTTGGGTCTAATGTTTCATTGTTCCAGGAAAATATACTATGAATGTTTGCCGTCAAACTATGTTTTCTGTCTTTCTGGAGGAAAATATATGTATTAAGGGGAACCTCGTTTGATTACATCATCCTAAATAGTTATTTAATTTGGCAGTCTTCAGCTTGCCAGAATGCTTAAATGTAAGATGAGTTGAGTGGAGATAACATGACACAGATTCAAGAGATAAGTGATCTTGTTTTTCAGTATCTTTTCCCCCACCCCCGCAAAATGAATTAAGAGGGAGATGTGGACTGTGTGATGGCAGTTTAACTTTTCATTAATTCCCTCCCTTTCTGGCCACAACAGTCCTTAAAATGGAAGAAAATTTCTTTTAGTATTTTTAGTAATTTCTTTTCGTACCTCCTAAGCACCTGTCAATGTTTAACAATACATCAGTGTCATTAATTATATTTATTGCATTCCACATAGCAGATTCTTCTTTTTCTTCTATAAGTAACGGAATCCAGAACTGCTCAAGAATAAATAACCTTTATTTTCAACTTCTTACATATGAGAACTGCCAAAGCAGATGGAAGGCTTCAGAAATAATGACATTTCACGTTTATACTACCAGATCCTTGAACTGTAATTTATCCTAACAGTTCACGCTTTCTGAGGGAGTAGTCCACATGCAAGAAAAGTTGAATGTAATCCAACATACCGAGATTTGTCTTACTGAGAAAACACGAATGGACATAAACATTGGCTTCCTTATGATATAATCCTAGACTTATTTACTTAGACATGAACGTCAAATTTTTCCCTATATGCTCATAAGATTGTAGTCTCCTATGTTAACTTGTAAGAAAGTAAACTCAATGGGTTTGAAAAGCAATCTTTTCTGAACAGACAAGCACATTCCAGTATCAGAATAATGCAGAAACTAAGTTTTGAATCTTAGAAGATTCAGAATAATTTCACAATCCCAATATTCTCTCTCTCTCTCTCTCTTCTCTCTTCTTTCTTTTTCTACAAATTTGAATTCCAGGCCCTCCTTCTAAATAGTCACAGATTTCCTTTTATAAAAAAGAATGATGATGTAAGAAAGGAAGATACCGTCCTGCAAGTAATCTCACAAAAGGGGATGTAAGCTTTTTCAATACCAGTGGTGAAGGTACTCTATAGATTAGGTAAATGTGTAGCAGCGAAACAGTGTTCAGCATTCAGTGTTCTGCCTAAATATAATCTTTTATGCTTTCCCTGAACAGGAAACATGCTAATATATTTCTCAGAACAGACTTTCTTAATTTGACAGGTTTGGATTCCAATTCAGATTATTAAAAATATATTTCACGCTACAAAATTTAATCAGACTTTGAAATGAAAGGCTAATTATTATCCTTCCTAGTTGTGGAGGAATTCAGCCCTTTCTGCATAATCCTCAAAATCCTCAGTCTATCAGACCTATTCACACATATATACCACATTTTTCAGTATGAAGAAACGCCCCAGGACCGAGTATGTACAAAGCTTTCTTCGAATATTGCTCACAGTTAACAGCACATGCTCCCCTTGTGTTATTACAGATACAAAGTGGCCATGTAATGCATGAAGTGGCAAAGGTACCCAGGATATGAATGTAAGTCTGCAGCAAATTTTTGGAAATCAGGATTAAAAAAAAAACATTTTAGACCAGGGGTTCCCAACCAGGGGTGCGAGATGATATTCTAGAGCAGGGGTGGGCAAACTACGGCCCGCGGGCCACATCCGGCCCGTTAGTCTTTTTAATCCAGCCCGCCAAAGATTGGTACAGAATTAAGGTTTGATGTGAATGATTGAATGATTGCATTCATTTGATTTTGACTTGTAATGACAGACATTTTGACACCAGGTGGCGGCCTGTCTGTCAAATTTTAAAAGTCAATGAGGCCCCCGAGCCAAAAAGTTTGCCCACCCCTGTTCTAGAGGGTGCGAAAACTTGGGTTTAGAAGTTTCAAAATTATAGTATATTTGCATAATTACATGCATATAATTATTTACTTTTGTAAGGGGTGTGAGAATATATCAGAAGCATTCTAGGGGTGCAGGGTATAGAAAAGGTTGGGAACCCCTGTTTTAGACAGTAGATTGATGTATCACAAACAATAGGAAAATAGGAAGCTTCTTTTTCTTCAGCCTGGTTAGGTCCTTTCCAAAATGTCTTTTGAATTGATATGGTATTTAATTTACATGATTCTCAGTAGCTTCTAACATTTCTGCTTAAGCATGATGAAAATTCAGATTTGCTTTTCTTGAAAGATGTTTTATTTGGTTGCCATTCACTCAAAACCTGATAAAGACTTTGGAGGTTTGGGGTAGAAACCAGTAGTTATTGAGCTATTTGAAGAAAATCTAGAAAATTGATAATCCAGTGGTAAATCTGAAAGAAACACATATGATTAGGAATTATACTTGTATCACATCTAAATAATCCCAGGAGCTCCAAAGAAAAAGACATTTGTTTCTTAAGCTTTTTAATTTGTTTGCTTAATATTGCAACAATTTAATCACACCCCAAGCTTACATGTTTTGTGTTTAGAGCATGGGTGTCAAACTCGCGGCATCACGTTGCTGTCACGTGACGTTTCACGCTCCCTTTGCGGAACTGGAGTTGGCATGGTCTGCACATGGTCTGCATCCGACCCATGGGCTGCCAGTTTGACACCCCTGGTTTAGAGTTTTCATGTCTGAGCATATAAAAATGAATGTTTTGCTTTTCCTGTGCGAATATCATTGTTTAAAATAAACCAAAAGGTGATTCTAGATAATTTGAAATAGGTATTTTTAGTAACAAATTAAACATATTGTATCACTTATACAGGCAAGGATGAACCATGACAATAAATAATATAGCTAATAATAATATTGCTAGCATATCCAAGAAAACTAAGTTTAGATTGTATATAATACTTTGCATTAATTATTTAATCCTAATTTTAAAAGACCAATATTATGTTTCTCATAATCATATTATATCTACAACCTTGGACATTCTTTTCTTACAATAAAAAAATACATCATTAATCTGAGGTGTCCATGGTTGTTGTTACTCTAATGGCTACATAGCTATTGTCTGGAAAAAAGAGTAATATCAGCAAAAACATATTTCTTCTAATATTTTCAGGAAACCTGAATTCCAAAGGCAAAACAGAGAGCCAGTTTGGTCTAGTGCAGTGGTCTGAAACCTGTGGCTCTGGAGCCACATGTGGCTCTTTCGGCCCTCTGCTGCAGCTCCCTGTTGGCTGATCCCACCACTGGCTGGCCCTGCCCCTCCCCTCCTTGTCACTCCTCACCTGGCCTGAGAAGGTAAGGGTGATGGCAGGGGATGGAGACTCGCTCCATATTCCAGAGCAGGAGGTGACTGGGTGGAAGTGAATGATGTTGAGTTGGCCACGCCCACCCAGTCACACTGGTTGTCAAATTATTGGCTCCCAAGGTTTTCTTTTCTGTGGAAAACGGGTCCAAATGGCTCTTTGAGTGTTTAAGATTGCAGACCCCTGGTCTAATGGATAAGGCAGCAGGCTAGAAACCAACGACTGTCAGTTCAAGTCCCATCTTAGACATGAAAGCCAGTTGGGTGACTTTGGGTCAGTCACTCTTTCTCAGCCCAACTCACTTTACATGGTTGTTGTTTTGGGGAAAATAGGAGGAGGCAGATGTGTTGGATGTTTTCTGCCTTGAGTTATTTGTAAAATTAATAAAGGTGGGATACAAATGCATACTGTAAATGTAAAATTAGGATGAAGCCACATAATCTACTTTTTTCAGAGCTTAAATAAATGTTTTTTTTTTTTTTTCTGCAGGTATGTTCTGGCTTTTTACAAAAGCACTCACTGACTGGCAGATGAAGATGAAACAACCACAGGAGTAATCTGAGTTAGTCCAGGAGAAATAATATTTAGGCATCCAACAGACTTATAATGTAGAATGGTAAAGGTGTGCTTTGGTTCCCCTTTAAAAATATACAAAATTCAAAGAAGGCTTAGGGTTGCCAAGTGGCAATAAACAATAAAGGAGAATATTTGTAGCTCAGGGTTGAAATGAGTCTCTCTGAACTTGGTTGTTTTCTTGCAGACATTTCAATACCCAAACTAGGTAACATCATCAATGCTCTAATTAAGGATGTCAAACTCGTGGCCCGTGGGCTGGATGCGCCATGCCCACTCCTGGATTTAGCGAAGGGGAAGAAAGTTGTGATACATCATGTGTGACGCCACAAGTTTGACGCCCCTGCTCTGATATGACCCTCATGACAATAAACAAAATAAGAATTATAGATCAGTTGTACCAAGAACTTCAGAAAACTGCATAGAAACAGGTTAATGGGGAATTTGACAACAGAGGATTGTCTCCTTTTATATATCAACTTGTTACAGAATGATGCTGAATTTTTTTGCATGCAATTTTTTTTGCTCAGTAAACATTAGTGTGTCTTAATAGACCATACACAATTCTTTTGGAAGCTTTTTTGTCTCACATCTTCTGTGTCTCCCCCCACCCTTCTATTTTGTTGATAAGGAAGTTCTGCCCAACTTCATCACTGCCTCATAAGATTGAACAAGAAATGCTTTATTTTTGAGTACTTCCTTATTTTCAGAATTTTGTTATGATTGAAAGATATCTGATCCGGTATTCAGAAGATCCAAAAGAGGCTCCCCGCTGTAAAAATTCCAAGTCCTTTTTGATCTCCCCCCCTAATCATAATGCATGCCTGAACACACCAGGTGTTTTAACAATTTGAACACCACCATTCAAGATCATGCAGAATACTGAAACAGGGTCAGGCTTCACAAAAGCTTGGCTGTTAACTATGATTTTTCTAGAGATTTAATTACTTTAGGAACTGGCTTATTCTATGGAATGCTCACCAGTATTACTCAGCAAGTTTAACATTTTTATCGTGGAGAAGTATGAAGAAAATAAAACTTGTCCATAGCATTGTACGGAAAGAAAATTCCTTAGATAGCTCTGTGCTTCTGGACTTAAATGTAAGTCCAGAAGCACAGAGCTATCTAAGGCCTTTTCCTTCTGCTCTGCCAAATCAATAAAGAAGCCATTCTTTAGATCAGGGATGCCCAACTCCCAGTCTGTGGCCTATTGCCGGGACTTAGTCTATTCCAAACTGGGCCACGGAAGCAGTGGGTGAGTGAAACTGCATTTGTGAAAGTGGCACATGCACAAAACTATCCCTCTCCCCTCCGGCCGGCCTGCTGAGCTGGAAAGGTTGCCTTCAGGGATCACCTGACATAATGGTACTCTATGTGGGAATGCTAATTCCTGTGTTCATCAGTCTAATTTCTTATCAATAAAGCTAAATTGGTAACATTGCATGTGTACTTTTTGTACTGTGCAGCTGATGTACACCAGATGTTCCAGATTACTTACCTTCCCAGACAGCCATGGCTATCAAAGAAGCTTGTCGGGGATTATGAGAACTGTAGTGCATTGAGGGCATTCCCCACTTTTTTTTAATCAGACTGCGCCTTCCTGTATTTGCTAAACTTATTTTATTGAAAACCTCTGTGAGTCATGGCTCTCGGAGCAGTTTATGAATTAAACATTAAGTATAACAATCAAACTGCGTATTGTGAACCTGTTTTTACAAGATTGCTTGGCCAGCCTTTCTTTTGAGTCAAGCACAGACATTTCTAGTATATATCCTCGCAGGCTGATTTCCCCAACCTACATCTATCTGTAGGAGGAAAAATTATATGCCTTGGGTCATATACAAAGTGAGATTAACTTTTCTACTAGAAGGAAAAATGGTTTGTCTTTTTAAAATAAAGGGACTGAGGTTGAGAACTGAGGCTGAGAAGAGAAAATGGGACGCCTTTTGTCAACCTAGCAGCCTCACTTATTAAATGATCTATAAACCTTAGGAATCTAGAAGGGATTATGGAAGTACTGAGATAGAGGGAAGTCTGTTTTGGTTAAAAACAACTTTTTTGAAAGGATAAGTCAAAAAGTGTGGTTAGAAATATTGTGTGCAACATTACTTTTAATTTGTGTGCAGTAAATAAATGCTACTTGGAACCGCTTTACAGTACAGTTCTCATAATTTAGGGGCAAGCATTAACTTGTGTCTGGCCAGAAATTTATACTACCTTTTATGTTCTATATGGAAGATCCTTCTAAGTCTGGACATGTAATTGGAATAACTCTTTATGTCTTTGATACTGTATGTTTTACATGTGACATAAATGAAAAGGAATACTTGCATTTTATCTTTTTAACAATAAACAACATTTATATTTTGAAAATAGATCTTACTTCCAAGGGAGGTGGGTGATTTCTCTAATCATTCACCTCAATGATACAAGACACAGAAAATAAATCAATAGAAATTATTTCATTTCTTTGGTCATTTTTCTTTCTATTTGCTGGTAAACTTGTAACATATTGGAAGCCTTTCTCCCCCATACACTTACACCCATACACAACAGACACACACACACACACACTCCACACTCTTTTATGGAAGGATGTCAGGTACTCAAGATTGTTTGAAGCTACTTTTCTTCAACAATTTTCCCTAACTGGGAAAAATTGGATATTGGCTAAACATTATGCTGAATGATAAGGTCCATTGGACTCTTGAAGATGGAAGCATACTCCTTCCTTCCTCCCCTCCCTCCCACCTTCAATGAAGAACCACATAAGAATTTTTAAAGCAAAGACTGCAAGAGTCTTTGCATTCATAATATATTAGCTCTAAAACATATCACTCTGTCTAAAGGCCTGTTGGAAAAGCCAGGTTTTAATAGCTTTCTAAAACCCAGAAACTTTGAGATCATACTAATCTTACCTACTAGTTCAGGGGAAAAGAAAGCAGTGACTGAAAAAAACTGCCTTTTAAAATTTGTGCAGATGAAATTTTATGAGGACTTAAAAAGTCTACCTGATCTTATTGGACAAGCCCCCAACCCCACCACTGGGATTAGTTCAGCATGATCACAACCAGACTTTTACAGGTAGTCCTTGATTTTATGACTCCAACAGAACTCAGACTTATAAGTTATTATAGTCATAAGTTAAGGCAATATGTGACTGGGTTTGATTTTATAACTGTTTTTATAATATTGTGAAGTGAGTCACTATGGTTGTTAACAAATCACATGGTTATCAAGCTGTCCATGTGGTCGTTAAACAAATCCAATATATCCAATGGAATTTTTTGTGTATGTTTTTCTGCTGGAAAATGGCAAAATCATTGCAATTTGCAGTCACTTGCTGCAACCAGTCTTAAAATATGAGCTTATTGCCAAAACTCAAAATGTGATCACATGCATGCAGAAGTCATAACTTTGAAAACGGAATATAAGTAGCTTTTTTGAAATCTTGTCTTCACTTCCAACAGTCCTCAAGCGACTGTTGGAAGGTTATAAGTCAAGGAGTAGCTGCGCACCAACAATATTTTCACAACTATTACAGCCATTGGACTTACAATGGCAGCTGCCTGTATCTCCAAAGGTTGTTTCAGCCACTGCTCTCTTGTTGTTGCATTATTCTCATTCACTACTGGGGATAGGTTGGCCCTCCTTTGGGTGGGCTCTTGTTATTCTAACATTGAACTATTATCAATTAATAAATTAGTTATTATTATTATTATTATTATTATTATTATTATTATTATTATTATATTCATTAAACATGAAACTTAGTCAACTGAACATTTAAAAATGTACCAATTATTATTATTATTATTATTATAATTATTATTATATTATCAACAACTGCTAAAATGGAAAGGAGCAATACATGTAGAGAAAATATATGCGAAAGATTTTAGTCCATATCCATTCCTTCTTCTTGTCAATACATGGTTTATGATTATGAAATAAAACTTAATTATTGGAGATGGAGATTGTCAATGCTATATCACTTGATGTTTTATATAACAAAGCATTACTTTTAGGGGAAAAAAGGTTAAATATTTTGTTTATGGGTCTGCGATTGGAATCGTTTTTGTGAAGAGTGAATCAATATGCTTTAATAAAGATACAAATGATTTCTCTTCACTGGTTTCTTTTCCCTGTCTCAAACTCATACCATGCTTTAATAGAACAATGAAAACCTATGAATATTTATTCAAATGTAAGCTTGGAGCAGCCAATCAATAAAAGATTCTGAGGACAATATTAGAATTCCAATCATCAATATTAATCTGATGCTAATATGAATTTGACTTATTAATGGTTTCAAAATTTCAGGGATTGGCTTAGGATCATTATTCTTACCTGCTATGGCTTCAATACTTGGGATTGTAATTGTGCTATAAGTATGAACAGATTTGCAAGACCACGTATTTACTAAGATTTCCTCTTCATTTTCTTTTCCTGAAATAGTATCCACAAAGAAAGAACCCCACTGTTTAGAAATGGAATGGAGTGCTTTGGGTTGACGTCCCTGGAATATAAACAAACACTAAGGTAAACATAAAATCCATATGTGCTCTTATAATTTCATATGGTTTCTATGTAAACAGCATCTCTCTAATATTCAAGGCACCGGGCACACAAAAAGAAGCTTGGTGAATGCTCAGGAAAGTCCCAATAACAAAGTCAGTCAAGAAACTCTGTAGCCTCCCCCAGGCATAAGAAAATATCACATTTCCAAATTCAATCACTTCCAGTCAATTAAAGAAATTCTGCTTGTAACAATTTTTTCTTATATGACCTGTATATATTAGGGATTTCACTGTGACAATAAAAGAGTAAAATGTATTAATTTATTTATTTTGCCTATACAGCCAGCAGCTCTTTTTTAGGCAAACTGTTCCCTGCTAGGGAGGAAGGGACCGTAAGAACATCTAGAGGGCTGTTGCAAAATAAATAAATAAATAAAAATAATTCTAGGCATCTGTCAAATCAACTCAGATCTGTTCAGAGTTGGATTTGAGGTAGATCTGGGTTGAAGAGCTGAGGCATGGTCTTGTTTAGTTACCTGGGAAGAATTTCATCTGGTAACTCCTAAAGTAACGGACAAGATCCTTGTTAATCTGGCCACTAAAGGCCTTCTAGAAGCATGGTTGAATCCATGCAGTGGATGGAATGGTTCTACCTATTGGGAAGGAGGTGGTGTACCCCGTCCCTTAAAGACCATTGTTGGACATAAAATTTTTGGCCACTTTTGTTTTGTCTATATCTTTCCCATTTTCTAGGGAGAAGGTGGCTGAGTTGCAAATTCAGAGGGATTTGTAGAAAATAAGTTAGCTGAATCTTTTTCAGCTGGGTTTCAGACAGACTGTACTGGTCCAAGGTCTCTAGTAGAGGTAGGACAGGGATCGTGCAATCATCCTGAATCTTGCCTGCTCTATTTTAATTTTTTATATTGAGTTTTAATGTTTTTAATATTTTATTTGTGCACTATCTAGTGAGGGAGATGAGTTGTTTCTAAATTTAATAAACATACAGACAAGCAAACGAATCTCCTTGATCGCTCAGTGGCCTTTGATACCATCAATCAGGCTATCCCTTTGGACTGACTATAACACGGGCATGGTGTTCTGGTGGTTCTCCTCTTTTTTCCAGTTCCAGCTGTCAATCCTGTGTCAATGTTAATAACAGGAGAGAAATGGAGTTCAAACCTCTTGACCTGCCAAAGGGCTGGTACTCTTGCTTCTTCTTCTTTTGACATGTTTTTTCTGTTGCCTGCCTGCCCTCTGAGCTTATTCTCTGAAGAGAAATGAAAAGTCTTTGGGCATGAGGACACTCAACAGAATGATGAAAGCTCTCCACTTGTGTGCACAGGAGCTTCCATATAATAGTTAATGATTTATCGCATGTTATTTTCCAATTTAGCTAGCTCAAAACCAAAACACTGGAACAAAATCTATTTTAAGTCAATGTTAAAATGAATTTAATAATGCAATTATGAACTATAGAACCACACACGACAGATTAAGTTCTATAGCTCAAGGTGATTTAGTTTATCGGTGATCATAGCTTCAAGTCACCCTTCATTTCATCCTTGCAACAATAATTTTGTGGGATAAATTGGGGTCAGAGAGTGACTGGGTGAAAATCATCTATCTTTGACTGAGGGGAGACTTACAATTAATCTGCATCATGTACTACTACCAATACTGCTGACAGAAACGTAAATTAATGTGAAGAACTGGCTCTTGTGAAACAAATGGCTTTTTACAGTTAAGAATGGAAAAGTGTTCTTCTCTGATTCCTGTACAATTAAACCCAGGGAGATTGAGATAATTTTTAAAGTAAACTTTGTATAGAAGTCAACAGAAAATGGCTTTGAACCATCCAGGGCATTCTTCCTGAAACACATAAAGCATACTTATTATCCTGTGCTACAAGTGTTTATTTTAATAAGAATAAGGGTATGTTTCTTTTCTTTCCTAGTTTTGCAAAACACAGGAAGGAAGCTGCAGCTGAACATAGTTCATTTATCTTCCTACTTTGATGTACGTCTTCAGAAAAAAAAAAGGAAAAAATACATTTATAATGACATGAAAGGTAAATAATACAAGAGAATTGTTAAGCAAAATTCTAATTATTTTAGGGCATATAATGCTTTTTGACTTTTATTTATTTATTCTATGACTTGAAGTGAAGTAGACAATTATCCTTTATTTGCTGAGGAGGCAGCAAGTGAATCTGGCTTCTCCATTGACTTTGCTTGTTAGAAGATCATAAAAGATAATCGCATGACCTGTAACTGGTTAAAGGAAGAAAGGAAGGAAGAAAGGAAGGAAGGAAGGGAAGGAAGGAAAGGAATATTTCTAATCCCCCCTGACAATGTCCCACAAGGAAATTCAATGGGAAAACTGGCAGGAAGTCAGAAGTCACTCCTATTCTTACTGTTTTTTTGCCAAGCCATGATCATTTTGTTTCTCTTTTTAGTTAAGGAAATATGTCTGAAACATAACCCAATGGAAACATTTTAATCATTGAAACTCTGTTTTTAATGCACAAAAATAATGGTTAGATCTGTATACGAAGCCATTCAGGGAAGGCTACCACATATCTGTGGCCTTTTAAACATTTGCTGAATTAAAACTGCCAGCATCCTGATCATCCATTGTAAGTCCTACTGCTGAAAGCTTTTGAGAATTAAGACTTCAAGAAGTTTCCCTGCCTTCTAATATCTGGTAATGCTTATATCATTACTACAATAAAAATGATAGGCTCTATAACCATCATCAATATGAGCCAGTTGTCAACAATCTGAATTTTGATCACATGACCATGGAAATTCTGCAACCAGTCGTAAGTGTGAAAAACAGTCATAAGTCACTTTTTTCAGTGACATTATAACTTTGGACAGTCACTAAACAAATTGTTGTAAGTTAAGGACTACCTGTAGTGATTTTCCAAATGCTATGTCAACCTCTCCCATAATGGAGGAGGAGCTGAGTTGTACCAGATTATCCTTACCTCATACTTTCCCTTCTTCTCTAAGGGTTCGGACCTTGACTCTGTAAGTACCAAAGCACCATCTCCTCCAAGCTCTTCTAAAACAAGGACAGTCTCCCAGTTACAATAGTGATGAGCTGAGAAGATATCTGAGTGCATGCTATCACCAAAGTAAACGACCTGGAAATAAGGAAACATAGCAATTTCATCTAATAAATAAATAGCTGCATTTGAACATCCAGCGCATTATGAGACTTTGCTGATCATCTGCAATTCGCTTAGGATCTACCAGTGAATCCCAAATTAATTAATATTACCCCTGACTTAAAATATGTTAATAATGATAATTAAGCTTGCAATGTAATGGACACAGACTTGAGAATAAAGTACATTAAAACACATTTGGAATTTCTTTGAAAGGTAATCATGCATTAAATTAAGCTACACACATCTTGTATTCAGTATTAAAAATTAATATGAAGCTTGCTTGTATTTCCTGTTAGCTGATGATGTTTATATTATTGTTATTACAATGGCTTACTTCTAGATCTCTAAAAAATTGGTTTCTAAGAAGTTGAATTTGTGTTGATGTTGAGAATGCCTTCTTATGAGGAGGCTCTGCTATCATGCCTTCACTTTTGTTTTTTAAAGTACCTTTGGTTCTACTTTGCCAGTCATCTTCTTCAGCAACTCACACAAATGGGTTGAGTTACCTTGGGAATACCAGCCAGGTTTGTCCAGGGTTGGGAGAGCTTCTTGTTCTTCATCATTCTCTGAAGTAATAAAGGAAATTTATCTATTTTACTGAAAATGCAAGAAACAAAGCACCCCTCTGAAATAACTAAAGACACACTAAACAAAATTAATTTTGAGAATATACCAGATGGGGGAAAGAGAAGTGAGGAAAGATAAGAAAAAAAAAGCACTGATTTCCGACTCTCTGTTACAGTAAAATAAGACATTAACATTAACTGCTTTTCTATTTACTTTGTATTTTATAATACTTTATAACTTAATAAAAATGTTAAAGAAAAAAAAGAGTGATACCTGATATGATACCTGCAACATATCCCACAAATTATAGTTCGCATCACTGTTTTTCATCTTCTGGTGGAGTCACCAATAACATTTACAACCTCCTTTAAAGGAAGATGTCTTAAAATTATATAAGAAATTATTTTTGTGTCCTGGAAATTGAATATATAAAGATCTGAACTGGGGCTGGGATAATTTAATAAAAAAACAAAATGGAGGTTTATATCTGTATCAATATAATTTAAAGCAATGTTAGAAATTAATGTCACAGAACCATTATGTAGAGAAATAAATTAGATATGGGGCAGATGGTAAAGGCACAGGCAGTTAAGAAGGATAAAAAGACAGATATCGAGTTAAAGAGAAAGACACAGATTTTTAAACAGGTCTAGTTTAAACAGGTTTGACATTCTATCAGAATAAATCACTTATTTATCACTGCAATTTTAAAACAATTCTTTGCAGGTCTTGTGCCAAAAATAGTTTAAAATGCACATTTTTGATACAAATGCTTCACTTCACATTCATTATTTGCATCTCACATAGCCCAAATGCATCTTACAGTCATGAAATGGATATGCAGTCTAGAATCCCAAGAATGAAGCTGCTAATATGCAGAGTATGTTGGCTGGTTTTACTGGAATAAAACTCAAATCAATCAAAATTTTAAAACTTTTTATAACATGAAAAATGAGTAGTTCCACACAAAACAGTTGTTTTTAGGAGTTCTGTATAAAATGGTTAAAAGGAAGGAGAAGCCCTAAAAAACAACACATCTCGTTCTTAATATAAGCAGAAAACTGCGTTCACTTCATTCTTTTTCTTTTTATAAGCAGCCACTGGCAATATAGACAAAGGCGCATTATTCTTATTATTTCCTCATTTATTTCGCGTGTTGATTCAGGAACATCAATCAGATCTTTTTTCTACCCTGTTTCCCCAAAAATATGACCTATCCTGAAAGTAAGCCCTAGCTTAATTTTTTACATGTGCACCCAATATAAGCCCTACCCCCAAAATAAGCCCTAATTAAGATCCTGCCCACTCCATAGTGCACAGGTAAAAATTAAGCTACAGTGGAGCTGTCCTACTACTTTCCTTTGGACATTTATAGCCAGGCCTCGCACACCCTGACACCTGCCTTGCCGGCCCATTTCTTTTGCAGCCAGCAAGGCTGGCAAGGCTTTCCTGAAGGTCTCTGTAACTGATAACAAAGCTCCGGATCAATCCGGAGCTCTGTTATTGACTGCAGATGCCTTCAGGAAAGCCTTGCTGGCTGCAAAAGAAGAAATTCCTGAAGTCTCTGGCAGCAAAAAGGAGGGCAGGGGTGAGTGAGGTTAGTCAGTGGATGACATCCCCGGAAAATAAGACCTGGTGCTTTTTTTACGGCAAAAAAAAAAGATGGAGTTATTTTCGGGGAAACATGGTATTAGTACAGTTAATATCATTGTTTTGCAAACAGAGCTATTTAAACTAGTTTGTTGTGGAAACATTAAAATATTGAAAGAAGAAAAATAACTTTTAGGGGTAATCCTAAAAGGGGAAATCACCAAGTACTCCAAAGGACAGCACACAGCTACAGGGCACTCCAAGGTTCAAGAGAGAGTATTCTCTTTCACAAAGGAGCAACAATTCAAAGTTGCCCAGCAATTATCTCTGTGGTTGTAGCTCTGGGGATATGAGAGTTGAGAAGAGAACTGATGCGGGAAGACATGGAAGGATATCACGGAAGGATTTGAATCTGTATAAACCAAAGTTCTTGCAGTACCTCAGTATAAAGAAAATTTAAGAGTCCTGCACTGATCTCATGATCCTGCTTATTGCTAAAGAAAACTGTTGTTTAAAAATGATAGGAAGACATAATTTATTTATATTTCCGAACTACAGCAAGACATAGCTATGATCTTGGAGTATGTATGCATTTATGTGTAGGTAAATAATATGAAGGTCAGATAAATCTGTATGAAAAAGCATATGAGATCTTGTCTGACACACAATTGTTATAGCAAGAAGTGAAACAATCATTGGAACATTAGGGAGTCAGTCCTTAAAAGTATACTCCACTGAGTTCAGTGGCATTCATTAAATCATGTCCAACAGTAGACTATCTAGGTCCCCGTTAATAACCTCTATTGAGGGAAAATCCATTACTGTGTTGGGCATTCTTCCACAGCTTAACAACTCCTACCACCAGAACACGCCTCCTAATATTCTGCTTCAACTTTTAATGTCAATCCACTGATCAGTTTCAGCAGTTATCAGATCTGCCCTCATTAGTGCATGATAGAACTTTAATTGCTTGTAGACTATTACATGCATCTCCCCTTAGCCTTCTCTTTTGCAGAATAACAGAATTGCAAGGGACCTTGGAGGTCTTCTAATTTAACCCCCGGCTCAAGCAGGAAACCCTATAACATTTCAGATAAATGGTAGTTCAATCTCTTCTTAAAAGCCTCCAATGTTGGGGCACCTACAACTTCTAGAGGCAAGTTGTTCCACTGATTAATTGTTCTCATTATCAGGAAATTTCTCCTTAGTTCTAATTTGGTTCTCTTATCGATTAGTTGCAATCTAACCATACCAGCTTCTTTAACTGTGACACACAGAGCTTGGATTCAGACTCCTTATCTTCCTTATATCTGTCATGACCCCGTTGGAGCCTGGGTCCAAGGAGGAGGAGATGGAGCTAGGGCCAATGGAGGAATGACAGGAGGAGCAGGACGAAGCAGTCCCAGGTCCTTTGGGCCTGGGAAGGGTCGCCAGTGAAGAAGAGAGGGCACAGGATGACCAAGCAAGGGAGGGGGAGGAGAGGGCAGGCAGCGGAGCAGAGGAGCTCCAGCAATGAGCAATTACCTCCGCCCGATTCCCCGAGCACGGAGAATGGAGGAGGCGGGAACAGCGCAGGGTGACCCGATGACTCGGGTGCCCTGCTCCTCTTCACAAGGTTCACCTAGGGAATGAGATTTAAAGAGACACTGTTGGGAGGGGCACTTGTCAGGAACAAGCATTGCCTTTTTCCAGTCTCACATGTTGTTACCGATGTCTGGATACTTTGCTTGCCTTGCCCTGTTTGCCTTGCTTGCCTGGCCTGGCCTGGCTACGTACGAGTGCACAGTGACGCAATTCTGCTCCGGGTTGTGTTGCAGTCCCAGTGAACTCTTCCTGTGATGAGGACTCCTTGGAACCAATTCCATGAATTGTGGCTGCTCTCAGAACTGTGCTGCTCCCCTGGACTAATACCAGGAGGTGCATGTTTAGAGCTTGGCTTCTGGACTTGCAGTGAATGATGGGACTTTTGGGGGAAAGTTGGAGCAATAAAGGGGAGTTAAGCCTTCATGCTTCCATGCCCTGCCCCGGGTCATCACAGTATCTGTCTTCTGAACCCACTTCACATCCCTTTTAAAGAATAGGATCTAGAACTGATGGCCGAACTCCACGTCTATTTCAATCAGTGCAGAGTTCAATCAAACTGTTACTTCACCTCCTCCAAATGCATTGCTTCTGTTAATGCAACACCATTTTTTATGTCAGAAGAAACAGCAACTTTATTCTCAGGACAAAAAATTTTCAAAGATGATGGGGCAATCTAATTTTCTCAGGTTGTGAACCAAAATATTAGATTTTCTACTCACAATATCATTATGATTTGCACTCCCATCTTGCCCATAGTTACTTTATAAAATAAGCTAGATAAATTAAATATGATCTTGTAATGTACAGGTTTGAATGTGGGGGACAATGTCAACTTGGGTCTCTAAAATTATATAAAACTGTAAAATTATATTTGTATATAGTTGAAGAAAATGTGGCTACTCTAGAAAATGGAAATAAGTAGTTGGCTATAGAAAGAAAGAAGCTGACTTCTAATGCGCACAAAACTAATGATCAGAATCATGTAATCCATGGGTCCCCAACTCCCAGGCTGCAGCCCACTACGTGGATAGCCATGTGTGCATGCATGTTATCCCACTGCTTGCATGGCCCAGTTCCCCTCTCCCCACCTCTGCCTAGCTACAAAGGTTGCAGATCGCTGCTGTAATTGAATACAAGAGAATACATGTGGCTTTGGGTTGAACTGAGTTCTTAGTGAGCTCTGAGATGTTTTATTGCTGAGGTTTTATCATCAGTGCCAGTGAATGGGGGTCAGGGTTTGCTAATACAGTAGTGTGCCCTGCCAATGTTGGGTTATGTGTGTTATTTTGTCTGGTAGTTTCTGGATTAGTTATTGTTTTCTGCTTGTTTGTCTGGGGATAATCCCTACTTATCCGAATGCTAGGGAGGATGTGTTATGAAGTTTTTTTTGTCTCCGTCTTAGTGGTTTTTTTTTGTCTCTTTTGAATGTTGTGTTTATGTCTGTGTGTCTACTGAGGGCTAATTTGTTCAAATGCCAACCCTCCTGGATTCCCTAGCGATTTTTTGGATTTAGTTTGGTATAGAATGCTCACAGTTTCTGAGCTGAGACTATGGTCAAGTTTGTCTCTGTGTTATGAGATTAAGGAATCTTCACTCTGTCAATGCACTCTGCAGTCTTCTGCCTGACTATCCTAGATAATACTGTTACAACCCTTACATTGTCTATTGTACATGACTCCTGATTTTTTCTTCTATTGACTATTGCCCTGGCCCTGGTAGGGTAAGCTACTGTATATAACAGGAAACAAACCTAGCATTGATGATGGTACCTAGTCAGACAACGAACTATTTACAAGCAAATAACTAAGCTTAGACAGCTTAAGAACTCCACTAATGGATTATAATTTGATTATAAGCAACTTTTGATACTGTAGCTTTCTCAAGTGAGGTCCTTTGTGTCCTTAATGGAACATTTATTTTAGGAACACTTGGTTGAATAAGCTAGAAATGTACTGTCCTCAAGAAATAATATTGTGCCTGTGGAAGAAATAGCAATTTAACGGATTTTGCACAACTTTCTTATTGCTCTAATGCCAAATGTAACATTTAATATGAAACACAGCTGTTTATATCATGTGTGTGTGTGTTTGTTTGTGCAGGGGCAGTTATATTTAATGGAGGAATCACTGGCAGAATATGGTAGAAAAATTTATAGTATTAAATATATTATGTTGGAATCTCTGGCTCAATTACCAGAACATTGTCCTTGAATGGGCCTGTTAAGAGAGGGAGGAGATGTTTACTAATTCCTGCTCTTGCACTATCTTAGAAACCATTCCAAAACTTAAGAAGTCATCTGACAACTGTGTGAAATGCAAAGCTTCAGAGAGAATGATCTTTACTTATTCACCCTTTCTCCAGTGGGAGTCTCTGTTGGATTTCAGTCCTTCTTACAAGTAAGAAGAAGCTCTTATTCTTTTGTTATTTATATGGAACTATTTCTCCAGGACCTCAGGGCAAATTGTTCCTTCAATTTTTCTTTCTAGAAACAACTGTCTGGGGCATGCTGAGTTGGGGTATAGTGACTAGGCCAAAGTCATCCAGTGAGTTCCCATGGTTGAATGCGGGACTTGAACCTGAATGTCTCTAGTTTTAGTCCAATACCTTAACTACTATACCACACTGACTTTTTATGAATAAAAAGAAAAAAATATTGTATTAACCCTTGCTTACTTGAATTTCAGTTCTAGAAAGATCAGTGATCCAGTTATAATTACTTTCTTCTATCCCCTTGAGCTTGCCAATGCAAGCGCACGTATATGAAATACTCTCCTTTAGCTGCACATTTCATTCAGGGATTTGCTAATATAAATATCATCATCATCATCATCATCATCATCATCATCATCATCTTAGCCATTGTCTGTCCACTGCAGGATGAAGGCCTCTTCCACATGTTTCTAATCAATACGATTCTGAGCTTTCTTTTGCCAATTGGATCCACAATACTTGCTGATGGTGTCACTCCATCTTGTTTTAGATTTCTTTCGTGGACCCATTTCATCAAGTGAGATCCATTCTATGACTGCCTTGGTCCACCTGCCTTCTTGCTGCGTGATCAGCCCATTTCCATTTCAATTCTTTTACTCTCTTGATGATATTGTATACTTTCTAACCCATGATAATATATATATTATATAAAATTATATAATATATAATTATCATTATAATTCTAACTCATGATTATATACATTATATGTGAAATGATATAATTACATAATTATCATAATATGAACAAGTGAACTTGAAAAAGAAAGTAATTTATTTTTGATAATGTTCTAATGTGGCAATCAAGCATGTCCCTGCAAATAGTGTTTCTCACCTGACTACCTTAATGTAAACATCTTAAAATACATTATTCAGCCTTAGAAATGTACAATATTGTTCGGACAACACATGGCATTCTATTCTTGCTAGAGGCATTACATTTGGAATTCCCTAAGTTCCCTGTATCTGTGGTCAATATAAAACCTGTCCTTCCATTTCTTACAACTAAAACAAGAGCTTTCAACCTTCAATGTTCTCTTTAAACTACTGGGCTGTGCAAGTGGTAGGTGGGATGGCACCCAATTAAAAATAGGCCAGTAGTGGCTGCGGCCCAGGGGTTGAGGACCCCTGTTTTATATTATGCTTTATTTGAATTTCCAGTAGGAGAGACTGAAACTCCTAGTCAGAGTCTATTTTAAGGCAAGTTGGATAATAGAAAAAAATTTTTAAAGGTATAAAGAAAAAAAAATCTATTCAGGAGCAACTTTCATGCCCTACTGAAAAGAAAATGAATTGTTGTTGCTGAGGTTTTCAAAGTCACCACACATACTTAAATTTAAGCTCCAGCATATAAACTTGTTATGCTTTCCACACACAAGAATCAGATGTAGGTGGGATATTATCCAATTCAATAAAGCATTTAAAACTTGACTAAAATTCCTAGTCTTAATTATCTGATCCATAGTGATAGCAAAAAGATCATTCATATAATATGGATGGAATTTTTAAACTTCTGTTTATGCCAATAAAATATTTTGTATTTATAGAGGCCTAAGTAAGGTTGAAAAACCAATTAAAACTCCAATTATATTAATTTTCAGAGAAATATTAGCTTATCAGAAGCTCTGGGACTAACTCAAATTAATAAAATACTGTGATAAATTATCAAACTGTTGAACAATATCAATAATTTTGACATAAAAGGTATGCACGATCTTAGGAAAAGCTATAATATGCACCTCATTAATGTATTCTTCTGTTACATTTAACTCAATATTATGCTGCAGTCATTTTTAAAAATTAATTTATTGAGTCTGAACCATGTTGATATAATATTACATTGTTTATTAACGTCTCTGGTGGAACAATTTAATCTGTCAGGCCTTTCACATCATTCTCAATATCTGCTTTGTATGATTCACTATTCTGCTTCAACTACATAAACAGAATTAAGTTCTTGTTTGCATGCATAAAAACATTATATAATTCCAGTGTAGGTCATCTTGTGTGTCTACTCAGAAGTTTCTTAACCAGGATAGATTAAATATATATACACACTTATTTTGGCTTTATTCAATATTTGAATTTGAAGCACAAGTTCATTTAATCTTTTATTCTGCATTTATTGGCAGGTATTTTGGTAAAAGGTCTGTACATGTGTTTGAATGTGTTTCTCTTTTCTATATTTTTGCTTCCCAAACTTAACCATTTTGGTATGCAATTTTGTCTGACATTCAGAGAAGTGTTAAGGCAAAGGCTCACTGCATTTTAGTTTACCTATAGCTTAGGAACTGCAGGGTTACCCCTCCTCCCATTTTAATACAGACCAGTGAGCCAAACAAATGCCTTCCCCACTCAAACTAGAAACATGATGCTCTCCAGATATTTTAGGAATTTAGGCAGCTTAATGTGAAAAGGAATAAGATAAGATAAAAGGAGGACAACTATCAGATGGCCAATAAATTTGCTTACAACTTCTTTGCTAACCCCCATATTAATATGTTTAATTCTAGCTTACCCAGACTCCGGAAAGGTCTTTGAGTTGGTGTCCGAGAAAAGAAACCAGGTTTCAGGGCATTTGTGATTATAATGTCAAAAAGATCTTCAAAATCATTCCTACAACAACAAAAATAAATTAAATTGATATTTTCATCTGTATGAGTAAGCACAAACAACATTTCAATTATTGGTGAAAATTGAGATAATATAAACAATATATTCAGCTAAAGACTAGATATATGCAGGTATATCTTATATGGGTTATCTGCATGTAACTCAGTCTTTTGAAGGACTTTAAAAATAACAGCGTATGGCATTGTAACAGTACCCTGGAGACTACAATGCTAATGCAGAGTAGTACTTCACTGCTTGATTAGCAAAACTGTTAGGTACATGTTTGCATGCTTCCTACAGTGCGCCATAGGAGAGGCAAGCTAGTTTCATGCTAGAAAGAAAGATGAACAGCTTTTCCTGCAGCAGCATCCAAGGCCTTTCTTCCTCCTTGAAGCTGCCTTGTAAATGAGCATCACAACTAGGAAGGTTCAGTGCTGGCAGGATTCTAACCGCTACACAAAGCTCCAGCTTTTTGCTCCACCAAAGTGGTACCTAATTATCTACTTGCACAGAACATGCTTTTGAATGCCTAGGTGGGCAGAAGCTGAAGCGAGTGGCGTAAGTTCACCCTGCTACACAGTGCAAGGACTCAAACTGCTGGAACAGAGATTATCTCCAGTGTCATAAAGCCACTAAGCCACTGTGCCTCCTTTTTGAAGGAACACATCAGGGAAGTAGTAAAAATTCAACAAAACATGAAATAAATATCATTTTCCAATGAATTATTCCTGTTAACGACATACTAAGCAATCTAGATTAATTAGCTGCTAGCAACCAAATAACAAGGCCATATACTTACATTATTTACTTAGTAATGGTATGTGGTTGCCCATCTTAAAATACATAATTCTGGGAGGTTAATGACAAGCCACAAAAATGCATAAAGGATCTTAAAAGAGTTGCTTAGGTGAGATAGTCAGCCATGCAAATTGAATAAATAAATAAATAAACAAAAATACAATTAAGAATAATCTTAATGCAACATCCTCCCCAACCTTTTTTGGCACCAGGGACTGGTTTCGTGGAAGGCAATTTCCACAGACTGGGGAGGGGGAGATGGTTTCGGTTTTGCTCACTCCCCTGTTGCTCAACTTTAGCTCTGCGGCCTGATTCCTAACAGGCCAGAGACTGATATGGCCTAGGGGTTGGGAACCCCTGCCTTAATGCATCCACCAAGGTGCTGCAGCAAACCACCGAAACAGATATATAATATACCCCACTGAAGTAAGCCAATAGATATTCCAGCCAAATAACTGCACACAGGATCTGAGCCCCCATGTTATTCATACTTTCTAGATTGGTCCTGAGGATGCCTGACAATATTGTACAATATGCAGAATATGTTTGCAGAATCATTGCAAAAAAAAAAAAAAAGGGAAAAGAATGAAACATCTGGAAGGGATCTGGGGGATTTCCAATATTCTGTGTACAGAAATTCAGAAGTGTGGAAAAAGGAAGCAAAATGCGTTCTGTAAGGCCTTTCCATTCTGATACATTTCTGCTGAATCTGCTCATGAATTTCAACAAAATTGTAATGAAAGCAACCAAACTAGGCCCTAGTATTGAATATTACTTAGATTACTAATATGACAGGAGTCAAGCTAGTGTACTGTGTAGCCTTCTGAGGAGTTTATTCTACTTACACAGAAAGAAAGAAGCAATTTGGTTTCAAACTTCGTATTTAGTATTGAGGTATAATAGAACTTGAAATCTATTTATAATAATCATCTCATTCTAACTCGTTCATACATGTGGAATAAAAGGATTTATTGGATAGGTTTCTAACCCTCTCTCTCAAGAAGAAGTAGCAACCTCAAGTAATATTGTTGGTGGCTTGCAGCCATCCTTACTCAGGTTGAGAGATTTAGAGGAATGCTCCAAATAACTAACAGAGCATGCAAGAAGAAAGATTTCACTATCACGAACTGTTTTTAACTGCTACACTACTAGCAGACAAAAGTTTGAAGCAACACAACATTCACTTACCCTAAAATGTACTCGCATAATAGTCTGCAATAGTCAGAATGAGAGCTAGTAATTAATAGCAGAATCTTTCCACTCTCCTTCAATCTTCTTAACCATTTTTTGACAGAATCAGGACAAGACCGTATATATTTTCCTGGGTTGCTTTTCACTTCAGGAAAGTACATCCCACAGTTTTCTGAAAGGTGGAAAGTAAAGATTATGGTCAAATATGCCACATGTTTGACCTATCAATGTCCAAGAATCTGTTTTTAGCATTCGTCTCAGCATTCATTGAATTCAAACACCACTCGGTTTTAAAAATGCTTAAGTTTTTAATAAAGCAGCTGATAGAATTCCTTTGGGAAAGATATTTGAAAGGGAGCTGCCATAAATATTCTAGTGGGCGGATGGAATTTGCATAACTGAGCATTCCTGGTTTGTGATCTATTAAAGAATGCTAAAAAGAGCAAGGGAATGGAATTACAATCCATAGTTCATACCTGGAAAAATTATATTGCTGGTCAAAACTATAAAATTAATAATATATTTTCCTTAGCAAACTGAAGTTAATACAGACAAAGCCTCAACATTACCTGTATAATTTCTCTGTTACTTCAAAAACCTTCTAATTAGAACAAGAACTGGAATTTCCTTAGCTATTTCTTAACTAAGAGAAACCAGCTACTATACTTCTGGAAGCCCTGAGGTGAACAGGGACCCTAATCTGTCAGAAGTATGTTCTTGTACCTGCAGATTCTCAATTCTAATTCTAAAAGAAATGTTTTAGAATCCCAGAGAGTATAAACAGTAGGTTCTACCAGTTCTATTGCTGGCTAGACTATGCAATGTTTATATGTCTTATATTGTAAGTGAAAATCAACAGATCATTAGCAGAATTTTACATGCTTCATGGGACACAGGAAATTGAGATATAAACTCCCCCATTTCAGAAAATTAGTTACTAGAACAATGATTATTCATTGGCCTGCTGCCTGTCTCCTAGGATATATTACTTCCTTTTTCTGTGTGAAACCCCATGTGAATTAACCTTTGAATTTGAGTTCTAGGGATCTCTTAATTGAAATGAAACTGTTACTTCCATTTTTTCCAAATTCTTTTATTCTGACTCTCGCAGGGAGATTCACTTCATCATATCTAAGTACTCCATAAGGCAGACTCTGTCCAGTACAGAACAGTAAAATTTCAGTATCCAACAAGCAAAGGTTCACATGAAACCTAGGATAATGAATACAGCAATTCCTATCGTCTGATTAGGTACCTGAATTACACTTGGCAGAATTTCCAATGGCTACTAAAGATGCACACTTCTGACTGCAACTTGCAAACCAAATCAGTTGATATTTCTACACATATTCATCTTTCCCACTAAACATCTGTGGTCAGGTTACATTTAAATGAAATGTTGAAAGGCTTGTATTAGCCCCATTTATTGAGGAATAGAATTTGCAGCACTATTCAAACTCTAAATCCAGTCCTCAGCCTGATTAAAGTTCAGAATAGAATAGAATAGAATAGAATAGAATAGAATAGAATAGAATAGAATAGAATAGAATAGTTTATTGGCCAAGTGTGATTGGACACACAAGGAATTTGTCTTGGTGTAAATACTCTCAGTATACATAAAAGAAAAGATACATACGCCAGGAGTCGAGAATCATAAGGTACGACACTTAATGAGAGTCATAGGGTACAATAAGCAATCAATCATACTAGGAAACAGTCAATATAAATTGTAAGTATACAAGTGACAAAGTTACAGTCTACAGTCACAAGTGGAAGGGGATGGGTGATAAAGAGTGATGACAAGATTTAACAGTAATAATAGTGCAGACTTTGTAATAGTTGAACAGGGTTGAGGGAATTATTTGTTTAGCAGAGTGATGGCTTTTGGGGAAAAAACTGCCCTTGTTCTGGTGTGCAGTGCTCTATAGCATCATTTTGAGAGAAGGAGTTGAAACAGTTTATGTCCAGGATGTGAGGGGTCTGTAAATACCCTGTTTCTCCAACAATACGGCCTCCCCCAATAGGAAGTCCCAGCATGTTTTATAGGCATGAAATGAAATTAAGCCCCTCCCCCCAAATTAAGGCCTACATTAAAACATGCAAAATGGGGGGGGAATGGTGGGGGGGCTTGCTGTTAGGAAGTACTTTTTTTTTTTTTTTAAAAAAACAAGTTTTATTAATTTTTAAAACACACAAATTATCATTATTCATTACATGTTTAAACCTTTTTCCCTTGTAAATTTAACAAGTCAGATAAATTATGATTCTGTTTTAAACCATTTCCATATAATATACCAAAACCTCTTATTCAATTTCTCTTTACTTCTCTTTACTCTTATTCAATATCATTATTATTATTTCATCTGTTTCTTTCTGACTTAATTACCATTATTCTCATTCTATATTTCTACAAGTTTTTACCAATTCTCCCCCCAAAAAAGACATATACACACAACACACAAAACATAAAAAAAATATCTTTTTGGAAAGTAACTTGGACCCAGGTGTCTCTCTCTTCATGGACTTCAATTATATTCATGCTCATCTTACATATCATTACTTATTTTATTTACCATTCTAAGCCTTCTATATTAACTTCTCCACATATTTCACACTTCTTAATTCTACCTTAATTAATCATCTTAGTTTAAATCATTATTTTTGTATCTTTTGTCCATTTTTTATCATCCCTTTGTCTTATTCTTTATAAAAAAAAAAGAAAATCAGTTTCTCCTGAAATCATTAATCAGAGTATGATGCCTTTCTATCTCCCCCCTAAGTTAATCAAATTAATCTTTAAAATAATATCTAATACCCAATCAGATTTTGCTTGGTACATTCTATCTAACTAATACATCCAACACAATTAAGTGCATAATTAGACAATAAATCCAAATATTAAAAAAAAATACTATAATAAAAATTTTATAATAACATCAATACCATAATTTTATTAAACTCTTTAATTAAAACAATATTCTAAACCTCTCCTATTATTAAGTTTTAAAACCAATCATTTTTAAACATTTTAACATTTTAATCTCTTATCAACTCTTAAACCATTGCAATACTACCATCTCATCTTATGTACCTTGCAAAATCTTTTTTTTTTTTTTAAATTATACTTTATCCATTATCCATAAAAAATTCCTTTTTTCCATTTAATTTCAAAACGTTGTAGCTTTTCTCCACCTTTTCCCTTTCTTTCTTTTCCCAACAAACCTTTCTACCCCCCCTTCTTCTAGCCTCTGCCTTACCGGCTTCCCTTCTCTGTCGTATTTCTTTTCCCCTTTGTTTACAATCATCATATTGGTTTTGCACTTTATTTTTCCCTTTCTTAAATGTTTTTTTAGATCTTAAGTCCTTAAATCCTTTAGTTTTCTTCTTTTCTCTTCTTTTCTTTTCTTTCTCTCTTCCTTTTTTCTGGATCAAATTCTGAGATTCATTAAAGATGGCTCCTTCCTTTCTTTCTTGTTCCTCTGCTGTCATCATCTGTTGTAATTTTTGTTGATAATTAGTAAGCGCCATTTCTAAGAAAAGGAAAGCTTCTTCCACACCATTTCTTAGTTCCTCAACAGAAAGAGCCATTATAAATCTTTTCTTTTCTTTTCTCCTTCTTTCTTCTTACAACAACCAGAATATTCAAAAGAAAATAAAAAAGATAAAACAGTCCCAAAGTTATCAATCAGTCCAAACCAAGGCAGAGTTCTCACTTTCTCCTTCTGGGGTGATATCAATCAAAGAGAAAGAAAGTCCAAATCTGTTTAAAGTCTTGTTACAGTATATTCTAGTCTTCAAATCCTTAAGGCATCTGCTCCAACAAATCTTAGCATACAAATATTTTCTTTTTAATCCTCTCTCTTCCCACTCATCGCTTAAAACCAATTTCCACCTAAAAAAATAGGTTTCTTAATATCCAGTTATTTATTCCGTAGGAAAAGAGGGAAAGCTATCCTTTCAGCACCTTCCAGCAGCCGCTTTTTTCCTCTTCTGGCAGGTATTATTCAGAAAGTCATACTTTTCAGGAATTTTATTAAATATGTCTTAGAGTCCTAGGAGCCAAGAAAAACTTTCTCCTCTCAATCACTTTCTCCACTTCCTCCTGCGCATTCTTACCCGGCTGCCAGCTTCTTTGTGGCGGCCATTACGGACCGCCGCTGCACCGTCCTGGGAAAAGGGGGTTCTGCCGGCCAGGGAGGGGGTCTGCAGCACCCCCAAACCCTTCTCCGGATCCCCCCTACCTTCAGCTGCCCCTGCAGGGCAGCCTAGCTCCGTACCCGGCTGGGTCGGAGCCCCAAAAACGGCTAGCGCGGCAGGGATCGCGCAGCTTCGCAAATCCCTGCCGCTCGCGAAGCCGACAAACCGGAAGTCCCTTGCTGTTAGGAAGTACTTTTGTTGCACACCTGGATATGGCGCTGCCTGCGTTGACCCCAATACTAAGTGCCTCACCAACGCCGAGGTCAACATCCAAGCCGTCACCGCCCGCCCAAAGATGCAAAGGGGGGGGGGAATTAAGTCACCCCCGAAAAGACGGCTTAGCCATTTTTTCGGGGCTCAAAAAAAAATAAGACCCGGCCTTATTATATGAGAAACACGGTACTTTCACAGCCCTCTTTTTGACTCATGCAGTATACAGGTCCTCGACTGAAGGCAGGTTGGTAGTAATTGGTGTTTTTTTTTCAGCATTCCTACATAGAAAGAATTGGACACTATGGGAGAGAAATCTAGAAAATCCTCAGTTAAAAAAACCCCAGAGAGGAATCATGACTTCACAAGTGGAAAAGATTTGGAGTGGGTGGCAGATTAAGCTTGTGGTTTTACTTTATGATACTTGTTCTGTCTTGTTTACAACTCATAGATGAAATGATTGATTGATGGTGTACTTGCAAGCTTCAAATTGCAAGCTAGGCTTTACAATGAAATGTTTATGAATATGCAAATGAAATGTTTATGAATAATAATCTCTTCCCTCTTCTAGTTTATCTTTCTTGTTAGCCTACCAGTTTCCTGATTGATGGAAACTTTTTAATTGAGTGAATTCTAATCCAAATACTGTGCAAAATGGTAGGCCACAGTTTTTCAAAAATCCAAATATAGTCTATGAGTTTTAATAACAATGAAAGCATACTTTTTCTCTACTAGAAAGGATGTTATAGTTTTATCTGGAAAAGA